TTAGGGGAAGACGTTGAAGGCTAATAAGACATTCATTTCAAAAATCATCAAACTGCATCACATGACAAGCGCTAACTTGGAATCCTGAAGCGAAACAGAAAAGAGGAAAATCAAAATATACGCTGCACAGGGAATTGGAATCAGACATGACAAGGATAAATAGCAACTGAAAAGAATTGCCCAGGACATAATTTAATTGGAGAATGCTTGTTGGCGGCCTATGCTCCTCCACGAAGGGTAACAGACGTAAGTCCCTTAAATTTGCTATCGAATTCATTAAGTATCTTATGCTGTTCATAATTTTCTACTTCGATATCTAACTTTTTACATTTTTCGTATATTATATTGTGTGACGAAAAATATTGATAAGCTATGTATTGATGTGAAGTAGCTTAAGAAAATTTGTTGTTGAACACTACTGAAACGAGTTCCAGAAAATTTTTAAACCATAAATTTCATAAAAATTCAAAATCCAATCAAATGTGACTGTTTCCCATGGAATTCAACTAATCAGATCTCTCATGGAAATTATTTACAACCAATTAAATAATAATTTTAATGGAGAAAAGTATGGCTGTGGATAAAATGAGCACATATTTCAATAAAACTTAAATTAATCAATGTTTCTCTAATATTTATGGTCATACCATCAAAATTTACCTTCAAGGATACAAAAATATAGTTAGTTTAATGTTAGTCATAAATTTAGGAACGTCATGAAAATTCCTGAGTTGTGACTAGCCGATAGCATTATTTCGACCACTCCAAATTAGTGTCCAGTCACAGAAAGCTGTTAATCTATAAACATGGAATTAAGTTATCTGTTTAAAGTTTAGATTATTGTATGAATAAAGTATTTCTGTTACAATTCATACTCTATTTACATGAACCTGACTATGTATGCTCCAGTTAATTTCAGTTCATCTTTACTGCAGCTAAAAGAATTCTATCATTAGTCAATATATCAAGATATTATCAAAGAAATATCTGATTCGAAGTTTCAAAACCTTTAACATTATTTTCCTTTGTAATCCTTTTACTCTACTTTAATGACCTTATAACATAGACCCATAAAAGTAGTCAAACTTTTTTTAATACTGTAAATGTATTTAGAAAGTAAATTTGATATACCACACCCAGAAAAGTGTTTTACTTTTATTGGACCTTTACAATAGTTAAACAAAACTAGAGCAAGAATAAAGTCTAACAGATGTCCTTATGTAATTTATTGATTAATTTTCAAACTGGTACACCTTAAATTGTGAATATAAATCTCGCTCGTACAAATATATCTCACTTTAAGCTATCACTATCGCATTTCACAATTAAAGAAAGTTAACCAAAAGAAAAGACAATGAAATAACGCTGAGAATATTACAAAAATTAGTAGAGAACAGAAATGATAATTCAAAAAAAGTTGATAAAGACGGTAGTGAAAGGCACAGGATATGATGTGATAGGGGGTTACACAGAGAAAATGAGTTAAGTTTGCTGTACAAATACAACTGATTTCGAACCATAGTCTGCAAATTCTATAAACTTACACTAAGATTAAGAGATCTGTGGCTCCTTAAAGTCTTTACACCAGGAGTAAGTAAACTTACATACAAATTCAATGATATAGTATGATCATGTTCACTATTCTTCAAATTAACTCACAAGCTAACCACTTGCCCCGAATATCTCAACCAATGAAAGTTCACATTCCTATAAGTTAATATCGTGAATTTATCACCAGTAATATTCCACGATACATAAGAGACAGTTAAATATATTACCTGCTCTTTACACTGAGTAATCTAGAAAGACAGAAACAGGATATTAAACTGTGACTTCAACCACTTAACTAATATTTAATATTTTCGGGACGAATAAGGATTTTTCTTGAACATTAAACAACTGCAACCCAAATTTTGATTGGACTGCATTATACTTGTATCTTCACGAAACTGTATTGTCTACGTTCACTAATTTGGTGAGGCAATCCCCTAATTATAAATCGACCATTCACGAAAGAATTTTAATTCTACAGCAATAACTATAACGAATGTGACTGCATACAACTTAAGCGAACATCGCGACGTAACCGATTAAGAAGACAAATAATGCCTCTGTCTCAAACATAAATGCTTATGTGAGGAAATTCCTGTCGAGTGGTACGTTGTAGAAGATAATTTACTCCCGATGAACATCAAAACAGTAGACTGGACTGATAATTATCCTTCAGACCGAACGACAGAAAAAACTAAGGGGGGAATCAATAAGGCTGGATACATCCAACCTCTCAATAAGTGTTATAAGTTTCATATATCCACCCTGTGATTATTAGTTTTCGACCATACCGGCAATACGTCGTAAAAAATGCGTTATTTTCATATTTGATCTTCCATAAACCTTGATTCAAACTATGAGATATCGCTACTACAGATTATACTTATGAATGAAGGACGAAAGACGACTGAAACAATTTATAAAATTTTGTTAAATTTTAGTTTGAACAAAGCTTTTCGAACGAATACCGATAACTGTTTACAATTGGTTATATTTATGGAATTGAATAAATCAAGAAATGCGAAATAAAGTATATTATTTTAAGTGTCGGAACTTTAAATTCAAGTTGTAAACTGAATAACTCCCCTAACAATTTACATGATGTAGTGTGATCTGCAATATCGAATATCGCAAGTGATATCTCGACCAGACAAATACAAGCCGAGTTTCAAAGTCAGCGTAACAACTGGTATTAAAATATTTTCATATTGCACACGAAATCCAAAGTTGGCTTGTATTCTACCTGAACATGTTCGTTGCTCTACTAACAATTTCGTTCTATATTGATTATTTTCAAACGACAGTCTGATAAATAACATTAAATAACGTTCACAGTGATAAAAATCACGCTATGATAACAATTTAGTTTCTAAATTTAACGACCAGCGTAATAGAATGGACAATTGCGTTTAATATCGTTAGATAAATGACTAAACTTATGAGATTTGACTGAATTGATAGTATATCAATTTAGTCAACCACCCTATACAATTAGTATAGAATGCAACTGGTACAACAATACGTATATTAAGAATTGTGGAAATGTGTGACGACTAAGCTTCAAGGTCACGTCAAACAAATATCTTAGGATGGAAAAGTTTGAGTAGAAAACATAATTAAGTATTGTCTCAATCAGCCCTATGTTGATCAAGAGTAAATTTTTATTTCAGTCAGGAGACTGTAAATCAGTGTATATGATGAAGATTCATTGGTTTCCTGTTTCAGATGAATGAAAGGTGGTCAAAAAGCATTGTAAATTCTGGGTATCGTATTGAGTACTAGATTCATGGCTGTTCGTTGGTTGCAAGCCATAGATGCATCACATAAATTTTACAGTACTTTTCAAACTACTTAAAGTAGGAGAAAACTTTACTGAAGAATTACTACATTACATTCCTAGAGTACAATAGTGAAGTATTCCAAGACTAGTCTAGTTAATGAAGAACATTTGAAAACCTCAATATTTATACTATGCGAAATATTTAACAGCACTTAAAATTAATAAAACACTTTATTTCCCAGTACCATGTCCAACTCGACAGCTAGAGAAAACTGAAATTAATTTCCGAGTGAAAGTAAGTGTACTCGACTTTCAGTCAAGCTTTTCCATTTTATTATTAATGAAACTACGCAGCTATTCGGATAAAAGTATTTCGACTAAGATTCGATAGCCGAAAGTTTAATGATCCAACCACCAAATCATTCCTTATTTAAAGTGTTCAAAGAGTATCTTAACTGACATAACTGTATATGTATTTATTTGAGCACATAGATATTGGTACAAGGGGGCACTAAATACATATGCGCCACACAAATCTCATTTGATTTGTGTGAGGGCTGTGATACTTCTCGGGTGCTAAAACCGAGGCAGATGGTTTTCTTGGACGGCCACATCCGGAGCCTTTGACTTAAAGGTCTAATCCACAAGGCAGTGGAGTATCGTAAGGAGATGCAGTTCCATGGTAGCCGGTGACCAACAATCGGTTCATACGCCATTTGTTCCCTCATAATACTGGAACCCATGTGTACCATTGGTTTAGAGTCAGCGTTTTCCAACTCCCCTAGGTGGATCCTCCGTGTCCACCAAAAGCGCCGGACATTCTCTTTTCGTCCTCTCAATTTCGTAAACATCACCCCGCCACGAGAAGACAGTAAGTACGACTTCCCTGGCAGGGGCTACATAAGCATGGCCATGTGAAAGCATTTGGAGAGGAAGAGCGGACTCTTCCCACTCCCGGCCGTACCAGGTCATTTGGGGGCTAATTGTACAAATAATATTTGATAAAATAAATAAACACTTCGCATAAATATATAAATCATTCTCTTTGAAATCACACATATATATTTAAACAATATTGTTACAAAATGAGGATTTAATTCATTGTCCTTAAATCAAAAAATAATAATCACTGTAAAAATAGAAATTCAGAAAGAAAATAACTGTCTTGAACAATTTATCGCAACATTCAAACAACCATTTCGTTTAATAAGCAAATAGAAATAAAGAGAAAAAACCATGAGTACATTACCATGAAGACACAGTAACCGAATAGAATACAACAAAGTCAATAATACGAATCATTCATATTAACACCATTAAGAAATAATATGGAGGGGAGAAAAGCGACGAAAAATATAAGTCATTTAATTATAAATCATATTACAAATTAGATATGAAATAAATTATAACAATAACAGTAATTTTCATTATAAAAATTATCGAAAAGTTTTTATGTGATAAATCACCAAATAACTGATGTTCATTAGAAATAAAGAAATATTTGGGAGAGAGAGAGAGAAAAAAACTCGTGGATAGGCGGGTACGAACATATGCGCATACACATGTACATACATATTTTTTTAAAAAAAAATGCACATTTACACTTTTATTTCTTGTTCAGAATAGGTGGTAATAACAAAAATCATCTGACAGTTAGAAAGAAAAGGATTTAAATCCGGTGATTTGTATAAAATGTTCTGGCTTTCAAAAGAATATGCATTACATCGACATTCGATGGATAATTCTGAGTGTAAATGATACAAAAAAAGCACTAAGTGAAAATATTTAAATGACATTTCGTTTAAAATACTCTTACGGTAAACTTAAATGTGAATTCACATCTAGGTTATATATGTTGGATAAGTTTATCATTCTTCTTAAACATATATAATTTAATAATTATTGGCCTAATTTAACGACCGAAAAACTGAAAACCCAATAGTTTAACTATTGAAAATGTCCTCCGAAATAAGTGAAAAAGCTTCAAAATACTGATGGAATAAACGGATATATGCATACTTAATCCATATTGTAATGAATGAATTAGGAAAATGTAGTGACTACAACTAGATCAGCATTGTAAACCAGAAAATATTACCGGACAGCAATTTGGTCATAGTATACGACTATTTATCTCTCGTGCGAATCAACAACTTCATTAAGTATTGAACCTAAGATTTTGAGGTAGTGCCTTAGCAAATAATTAACTTTTTAAAAAATATTGAGCCTCCATTCTAACTCTAGTTAAATCTTGATATTAATTGAAATAAAAACAGACATTAGATGATGACAAATATAAACAGAGTGAGTTACTTTAAACCTGGAAAAATTATTTAGATTCCTTTAACAAATAATGCAAAGGGCTAAATTTTTTAACAATCCATACGTGGATTGAAGGAACAGCATAGGCAATTTAATACACAGTTCGAACTAGTCTGATAATCAATTATCTCATCTTCAGAAATGTTATTCTAACAGTAACAATTCACTTTCTTGGATAACTTAGATAACTATACAATAACTGAAGTTTAAAACCAGCTAACAATTTTAAAAAAGACTTTTAACGTTTTTAGATAAATTATTATTGATTTTTTAATATCATTTACCATACAGAGTTTGTAGAGTTTTCGAATGTCATACTGATCTTAATTACACAATCCATGAAAACCAGGAAATAATGGACAGCTACTCCGTCGTAGTATGAGATCAGTCCATGATCTTAACTGTAAGCCTTATAGTTTACCATTTAACATTTGGTATTACGATAATTGATTACACAACTAATAAACAATTAAAACATATAAATTTATAAGTTTGAATAGCTACTTAATTATCAGTCGATAATAACATCTGAGAGCCTAAAATACAAAGTTGTAGTAAACTAAAAAGACCTATAAATTCGTTTATTACTCCAGTTACCAATTAACTGATTTAACAAGTAATTTTTCAAGATAGGTTCTCTAATCATACATTTAATTACTATCACGTTTTGTTAAACACTTTCATGATATATATATATATATATATATATATATATATATACATTACCAGTATTGTGAAACTATACAACATACACATATAAAGTTGATTTCTTCTTTCATCTTAATCCTACAAGAAAATCATCATAAAAAATTCATGTGAAGAATCAATTTTTCTTTATTATAAAAATTATTTACTTGAACAAGTTGAACAGCCGTAGGAAAATCAGCTTTTAATAGTTGATCACGAATACCACTTGTAATTAAAAGAAAAAAATTGCCAAAATGAAAACAATAAAAACAATAATTATAAATAATAACGTAGAGAGAAAATTGAAAATCTACGAGATGATAAGATGGATACTTAAAATTTCTAAGAAAAATCAACTATTCCATTATTTTGTCCATTAATTTTGACTCCATCAGTACATTGGTCACTATTTATTTTACATTGCTTGAACTTAATGATATTCATTTCATAAAAAAATAAAAATAACAACTTAACCGTGATGTAAATTAGCGTTAACATCAAATTTATACAAAGAATTGAATTGTTATGGAGCTGTAGCTCAGTGGTAACAGCATTCGACTTTCGACTTGTAAGACTTAAATTCAAACCCGGTCAGTCGGATAGTATTACTACCTTTTATACTTACAGGGTAAATTGAAGTTATTTATATGAATTTGCATCTGATTAATGATTTGACTATAATTAAAACAATAAGTTCATATCACAAATGATTTAAATGTAAGTTTTTTTTTAAAGTACAAATGGAAATAATGGTGACCAGAAGCATTTTTAAATGAGATGAAAACTAATAAAGCTTTAATGAAGGTAATTGTTATAGAAATCTGCAATAGCTGACGTAAACAAGCAAGAACCAGTCGATTTGGAAGAAGAAATGAGAAAACTCGTCAAAATTATAGAACAATTAGATTGTGAAACCTAATCATTCAAAGATGATAATACATATGAATCAACCCGTTGAGAGTAGTAAGCACAGGGAAACAAAGTTATGCTCAAGCTAACCAGATTGATGATTAAATATTCACTTTTAATTAATTAATAAGACATGATATCACTTATTTGTTGATAAACGTATCGATTCTTAGTTGACCATCGACAGCGCATTTACTGACAGGATATTTAATGTTGTGTTATTAGAAGCCATTCGCATTAAGCTTTGGTCCACGTTTTAATGATCATCACCGAAACGTTTCCCTACCCTTTAAATAATTAATGGTTGACCCGGGGATTCAAGGAAGCATCTCTCAGTACTGGAGTCGTCTGTGCAACTGATCTATTGATGTTGTTACCAACTTCCTGAAGAAATGGATAGAAACATATACCATGTTGTCTAATTCTTAGTACTCTGGGCACCGTAAAACATAACATCGGTTAATAGTTAATGTCAAGTTAACGCAGTAATATTTATAATTGTGTGAACTAATTATGTTGTCATCGAAGCCTCCACCCATCCATCCATTAAAATCCTATGAAATTATATATTTACTGAGTTGTATGAACATAATGTCAATTAAAAGATGAAGATATATAACATAAACTAAAAAATTCTGAATAATATACTCAAAATATCTGAACAAAACGGTTTAACTTCAAGGAAACAAATAGATCACAATAATGTTGACAAACTGTTTTATCAAGTAATTATGGGTTGAGAAAAATAAAATAACTATTGAAACGAATTAATCGGCAAATATGAATTATGTAAGATTGTAAATTATTAAAATGCAATTTTTCTAGATAATTTTTAGGCCAAGTCGACAACAACCACTGAAATGACTCAGCTAGTAAGAAATTGAGTTTATACAATGAACTAAATATTTTGGTTAACAAAGATCTATTACTCTTCGTATATTAATGAGGTATGCATTACTATGAAGTTTAATACAGTTCTATTAGATTGTAATCTGAATAAACTAAATTCTAAGTAAATAAATCAAATTGAAGATATATTTGTAGATCAAATACAATTAACAATTTGAAGTGGAGATGATTTACTAAAGTGAAAAATAATTCTACAAAATTATAGATAGAAATAGCTTACATTAACATTGAACAGCAAACATATGGAAGTAAGTTGAACCTGTGCGGATCTGAGAAAAGTGTATCCCATAATAGGAGTACATCTGTAACACAATAGATAAATACGAGTAAATTACTAAACTGTAATTTAAACCAATTTCATATCTATGAAAAGACTGAAATTGGTGTTAATTATGAACAATAAGTAGAGTGATCAGAATGTGCTAAATAGAAAACACCAAAACAAAACATCACTTTTCAAAAAACATTATGACTGTATTTGTATCAGATATCAAGAGGATGTGTGAATTTTTAATTAATTTGTACTGATTTGGATCATCTCGATATTGACTGAAATTTTATCAGTCTTGATTGACATATGTGCATCCTGGGCGGATCACCTCAATGTAGTTTTTTATGACGTTTATGTAGAGTAGATGAAATGTGACCAGGAGTGAAACCAGGGACGCAAACGAACTGCTGTCTGGACTCAATAATCAAGTGGACAACGGGTTGGCGTCTGGAGCCAACAGTATTAGGCTCGAGTCCAGAAGTGGAAATCAACTCTGGGATGCATGTATATCCAGACGACGCGTCTCAAATACGACAAAACATGCGTCCTAGATACTGGCCACACTTCATTTATTCTATATAGAATATGTATGAATGTGAACTACATTTCAGTTAGTGGATGAATATGGGAATAAAATATTTTCAGTTAGGTTATCAACACTTACATCTATAACTTGTATCTTCACTTATGAACAAAATATAATGACTAACGAACTTATGGTTTGGATACATGCAAAATGGTATTCGTCTTAACCAACTGCAACCTCCCAGGTGAAATACGCTAGAGACTGAACTTAAAAATGTAATTGAGCGTTGTTCACCCTCTTCATAACAATTTCACCAGTATTCAAGAGAGTTGACGATGTAAAACTTGTTAAGATAATACACTATATGATAAAAAGTAATTCGTCTTTTTCTTTAAATGGTATATATACGCTCAAATATGAGTTTCAGTTTTATATATAAATGTTACAGAACTGAAGATGAATGAACATTAGTTTAAACAATTCCACTTATTCATTCATTCATTCATTTCTAATCAATACTTTGTATACGATTGAATTTTTCTCAAGCATAAAATAAATCAAAATTTAACAACACAAACCACAAATCATTAAATTACGTAGTTATGACCGATTTCTGTGTCATTTGTTTTAATGATGAAAACGCACACAGTGTAAATTAGTAAGATGAAAAGATTCTCATAAATGCAGTTGCATTATCATATTATAAGAGATGAAGAGTTTACATAATATGTTTCGCTTAAATATGTACAATAATATAATTTCTAAGAATGTAGTTCCTAATTCTCTTTCTTTTTCGTGCCAGTATAAAGTAAATGTAGTGGTAACACTTCTTTAGATGAACAACTTATTGGTTTGAAAATCGTACAAGACATTTTTTTAAAATTTTCATTTACTGAAATTAAGTGATGTCTCTAGTTTAAATAAAAATTCGGTATAACAGTAAGATTTCAATTTTATTATCTGGTGAATAACCCAGACAAAACTTAGATACCTTACAATTTTCTATGCCTTTAAATAAATTTTAATTATGTTTAATTGTGTTAACCGTTGTATTGTTAACCATTGTATTAACCATTTTTACTACAAAAATAATTATTTGCTGAACAGTACTTCTGTTTTGTTCATATCCATTGAACTGAGTGCACTGAATGAGTTAATAAATTGATTTTATTTTTAGTGGTCGTAATTTACATCACATTTTCCAATGTTATTAAGATTATCAATCTTTATGGAGTTTTACTCTCTGATCTGGATGGTTTGGTCGTGGAGCTTTCATCGTTCTTCTGAACGACATCATCAGCACAAACTTCAGATAGAAGTGAAGTGTTCGAATTTCTCCATATGTGGTTCACAGCTTGTCCTGTAGACCTTAATAGTTTTATAGAAACTAAATTAATTATAATTAGATAGAAACTCAAACGACAGCGATAGCATTACATTCAACAGAGTATGGGCATACAATTGATTCCAATGGCACAAGATCCCTCCAAAAAGATTTACTTCATACAATATAAGATTAACAGCTGAAGCCCTACACACATGAGTAAATCCAAACAATATTATGTGGAGAGATGGTATGTAATCAGCTGTCCTATGTTGAGTAATAATTAACAAGTAGACCAAAACTCCTTCTTACATTTTCATTTAATCCATCTCTTATTTTGTGAACAACAATGATTACTTTCATTTGTTCTAGTCAGTTGGTTTATCTGAAAATACGGTAAACAATCAGTTTGGTTAACATAATAACACAAATATTTATATTTTTTCCTTACCTTCATTTTATGTATGATGTGACATGTTTGATTAATCTCATCTATTAAATTATCTGATTTCATCAAAAATACCTAATCAGGGGTGATGTATAATCAATGAATTTCCCCACATCAGATTTGTATACACATAAAAACAACTATCATCTTAGCTTATTCATTGTAATTTTATATTACTTGAAAATACGTAGAAAGTAGGATATTTTACCTGAATATTAATTCTTTGCAGTCAAAGGTCAGGTTTTTGCTTTCAGATATTCCGTGGTTTATTGAGATCTAGGGTTATGGGGGTAGCAATCATATTTTCTGTCTATTCATGTATTTAACAGGCGCAAATGCGTTCCAACTACCATAATACAATCCTCTCAGTTATATCATTAGTAATTGTGAATGTAAGATATTTACAGCTCTAATTAATATACTTTCATCACAGTGTTAATCAACGGCGAACCTAAAATCCTATAAGTGGGTGAAGCTATTTATAAAACTTTATAAGACGTCCAACTCACGAGTTTCAAGTGCCCCGTATAAGAAAATTAACGATATTACTAACAATAAGACAACAGAATTACAAACCTGGAAGCATGAATTCTCGTGCCAACAATAAGCTTAACCAACGAAATGCAAAATGTTCCGGAACAAGTTCTATTTTTTTAAAGTGTTTGGACAGATTATTGTCGAATTTAGATAGTAAGTCCGATAAAATTTTCATTTGCCCGCCTGAAAAAATTGAGCAAGTAAACAACAAAACAAATTAATCTCTATAATTTAAAAAGTAACAATATATTATTACCATCCATACTGAGGAGCAGAAAACATAATGAAATAATATGTAAAAATTCGATAAATTACTACATAACCTATCTGCTTTTGTTATTATCGTTAAATACGCATTACTGTTGTACAAGGTATCGTTTGGTATCAACAATTAATTACAACCATCACATAACCTTTATCTGTTGTAACAAGGCATGCATAAAGATCTGTGATGAAATCTGCAGTTGGTAGCAAGTGGAATGTAATTAAAAAGTATCGGCAATAGGGTAGACGTAACCTTCCTTTCATCCGTAGCTAAATCTTGAAAATTAAGACTGAAAATACCATGCATACTGCTTCTTTTCACGTACTTTACCTGGTTTTCTACTCATTTCGATATAATACTCTTTTTTTAACAATCATATCGAATCCTTTTTCAAATATCACTGTACAGCGTTGTTATTTGAGCCGATAACTAAACGCAACGGGTATTACGTTGTTTTATCAGTTAACCTAAAACAAACCATTAATAGACATGGGTAAATAGCGAAACTTTAACCAATATTCTTACTCGACATGCGTCTTCCAATGAACTAGTATTTTAACTTAGTAAGGGGCATTACTCTTACAGAATTTCATTGAAAGTAAAAGGCCACCATAATTCTGATATGGTTTTAACTGTAACGCACTCAGGAATCGAGAATGACTCGAGTAACATATTGGTAGTTCACTACCTGTATGATGAATGTGTAACTCAACTAAATGGTATATAAAATGATATAGAGATTTTGTGTTAAATTAGTTTAATGGTTATTTATTTCACCTGACCTACTCTTTTGAGGTAAACTACGTAACTAACTATTTTGATATTCAGTGACTAAACCCAATGTAATTCCATACAGTACATATTTAATCAGTTCAAATATGTGACTGACCTACAAGATTATAATAATGATGTATGATGAGAGGAAATATTGGCTAAAATATTAGTTATTCTTCTTAAATAAACAACACATTAAATCGGGTGCTTTTATGAAGGAGAAATAAATTGAAAACCGTAGATGCTCACCTAGACCAGCTTCATGACTACCATCTAACTTTCGTAGAAAATTAGGATGAATTTCAGTCATAAGGTTATTGAAGCAATAAAATGTATCCATTTCTGCATATTCTGTGTGAAGAGTTAAGATAATAAAATTAAACAGAATTTTGATACATCAAGAATAGAGATTGCAAAAATCAGGAGTATAAATTATCAATGTACTTTTCGATAGACTAGTTTATAATTTACAAAAAATGTCAGTAGAGACGTATCTCTCCTCCTAAGATGACTACAAACTAATCAAGAGAAGAAAGTATCATCCCCTAAAGCTTACTAGTGAATAGATTAGATCTAAATTAAAAGTGTGATTTAGGTAATTAAGCCTTCATTGCTTTGTTACAAGATAAATTAAAAGATCAACAAAATTTGGGTCCTAAATAAATTTAGAAATCTTTGTTATCTAAATCTTTCTTTAATAACTAGGGTGTTTACGACTTGAGACCAATTATATTCCAACTGTTCATATGACTGATAATCCACGCAAAATGACCAGATTCACTAATATATTATTTTAAGGTTTTGATGAAGATCACTTTCGAAATAATTACTAAACCCACTGCCACAAATAAGTACACAAAAGATATATGAATGATTTTACAGGTTGACAATATGTACATCGACTCAAATTGATGCACCACATCATCATAGAGATAAAACTGTTGTGACAAACACAACAGTAGTACAAATACTAACATTATCAGAAGTCGTAAAAAATATTAGGCATACAATATGTTAGGTCCCGATAAGCATAATGAATGGTAACTTTGGGATCCATTTATGGACCAATACTAAACGTATATTTTTATCGTATAATTGTTAAATAACTAAACTATTCATATTCATGTCTCGCTTATCATAAACTTTATTTTAACCTATGAACTGTTATTATACGATTTTTCATCCTTGAATTATTCCCTGTCTATTAGTCACTGTCTCTCACATTCACAGCCACATTTGTCCAAATTTTGTACTAATGTTGTTTTCTATTTTATCGTACGTTGTGGTCTGTTTGATTGGTATATAAACCGAGTATGTTTGAAATACATGACTCATATTGCAGAGGCTGAGATTGGTGTTCTCGACTCAACTGGTTGGGCTAGGCGGAAAGCAGAACCAATCAGGACTCTAGGCTGCTCGCACGTGTTTTACGCGTCCTTGGTCTGATCGATAATTCACTGCTCTCTGATTGGCGGTATTATTACGTTATCCATTAACAGGGCACTCAGGCCACAAGTTATAACACAATATATGATTTGAGGGGAAAATATAGGTTACTGAAATTTAAAAAATGTAGTCAATTGAGAGACTCAAAATCTGAGAGAAGACAGAAAATGGATGCATCTGTACAAATGACAGTGATTCTGAGCCATGTTATATCACATCTGTAACGATTGGACACGAAAATCTAATCGATATCGACCAGATATTTTGCACCCACAAACATGATTCAGTCTCACTGTTGACGACTTGATGATTGATACCAAGTTTTAGACTGACTAATCTTATCTTTGTCACAGCCTAATTCTATATCAGTCAACATCACGCGTCGAGATAGACAGTGGTTGGTTATTTGTAGCAGACGCCTCGACTACTATAGTCGATGGAGATGTACTACATCACCAACCGATTCGCCCTCGCTACCACGTACCCTGCTCCTAACTTCTAACAACAATCTTCAGCAAATATATTAATACACAGAATAAACTTGCTTCTCCAGGATTCATCGGGGTCAGTGGCAAAAACATAGTATATCGGTGCAATAATTTCATTCATTCCTTGAACATAACCCTGAGACACATGAGTTTTATAATATACATATAGAATTCTTTCAATCACTTCCCAATGTGGTTCCTGATGCGGTGAGGTCGAATTCCAATCGCTTTTACGGTTCATCTTACTTCTTTGTAATTGTGTTACTAAACCAGAAGATAATCTATGGCTTGGTTGGAAAGGAGCGTAAGTAGACAGATGAATCATATTTGTAACACCAGCAAGATTTTTATTCAATGAACGGGACTGGAAAGAAAACAAGTAAAATTGAACACTTAAAACATATCATGGTAACAATAACATATTTTTCAATCAAAAGCAATCCATAGAAACAATTATAAAATACATCTTTCACTAGAAGTCTACATTAACCAACTATCAAAAACTGAGGGATGTAAGACCTTCCAATTGTTCAATGAATTCTCAGATGACATACATTCATATCTGCAGCTAAGAAGTTGAGTTAGATCACTAGCTAGTTGAATTTTAATGCATCGATTACTGAAGTCGGGTTTAAACGCACGAACGTACATCATTAGGAACTCTAAACAGCCCTACTTTAGTAGTCTTAACAATCATGACTCTGTATTAGAGTAGAATGTGACAATGACAGTTACTTACTGGCTTCTGATAGTGGTTGTTTAGCTGATGTTAACTGTATCTTTGAATAAAACACAACAACAAAAATGGCGTTTAGTAACTAACACAAAACGTTCAATCAATCAGGCTGAGAAAAAAATCAGCCTACTTGCACGAGAGTCTAACACTAATCGGTTCATGATCTCAATGAAATTTAACAATCTCTACAACCCTATATTGACAATGCGATATATACTTGCTGATGAATCTTCTCAATGTTAGTTTCACTTCAATAGCTCCCGTTTAATTGTTCAACAACTATCCAATCTGTGTAACTACATCTTATGAAGAAAATGTCGCTTTCCGACATTCAAAAGCTACATAGATGAAACATTTGTAAAGCTTGTCTTGGCGTCTTTGTATTTAAATAGTCAGTCAGTCAGCTACAATATTAAAAAAATAAAATATTATAACCACTACAAAACCTCTTTTACGATGTATGCCGTTGAGTAAATTTCTGGTTCTTAAAATGTGCGTTGTAGCAACTATACTTTGTCTTATACCGAATCAATTCCAGGAAAACCATTGTAATACATCACGTTTTAGCATCCCTACACAAAATAATACTCAGTCGCTGCGATGTTCAACGAGAATCAGCGAAGTACAATGCAAAGTTGGTAACACAGAGCATGTAGTTTGTAAGTAAAACATTTGCGCAAAACATATCAAGGGGAAGTTTTAGGACTATTTACCTGAAGTGCAGAGGTTTCCCCTCTTCTCCGTAACACCCCAACAGGTACTTCCTTTCCAAATAATGATAGACAAGAATACTCTGTGGGACGACGAAAGAAATCAAAATCTGGACACAGTCTCTGACAGTCCTTATTAATTTGGAGTAAAATTTCATTATCGCGAAAAAACGCGATCCAATTTCCATCTGGTTCTAAATTTAATGGCTAGAGAAGTAACAACAATACTAAATGAATATACTTACATGATCAGCAGGCATAGCATCTGCCACACAAGACTCAAATACAAATTCCTTTACATAACCTTCATATTGCCTTCTGTTAAAAGTGATCCGTTCTTGTCGTTTGTCGACATGATAAGGAAGATAATTTAAAAGGAACTGAAAAATGTAGGGGAATACCTTACCTTCCAAACTCTAGAACGGATCCCATTAGAATCAGGACAACCGTCAATAGACAGTCTTTTGAGTTCTTCAATATTTACGTTTTCTCCATTTATAATATTTAGCATTTGTTCATGTCTATGGAACAATAAATCAGCATCGAGCGTACTACCTAGAGCATTTCACATCCATTACAGAGAGCTATTCTAGTAAAATCACTTAATAGAGGTTTTAGTGGACATTTCCTTGAAATATGCGAATTTTAAATCTCTCTAAAAACCATAAACATTTAAGAAAAGGTTTAGTGCTATTGAGAGACTGGTACAAATGTGATTTAGCTTGAATGGCCATTGCACATCAAAACAGAGAGATGAAATTACCATAATAGAAAGCAAGATAACTGAAATGCTTAGTAGTTATGAGAATATTGTTCTGGAAGGGATGAAAAGGTACGTATAAGTGTATGGACATGATCACCAAACAGACTCCAACCAAATATGCTGCGCCTAACCACATAGCCCAAACCAAGTCACTGACTAAATGAAGTGATGTTACATTATGAGTTGGCTCCCACAAGCTTTCTTACAAGATAGAAGCTAAATATTTGTAATCAAGAGACTAGAAATCATGGACGCACTAACAATACTGACAGTAGAACGCGAAGCGAGCTTATTTCAGCAGCCTAGTGTTTTTGCTCATCCTATGGCTAATCATCTCAGAAGTTATCACAAAAAGGTTTAAAAACCGTTATCGAATAAATTCAGAAACAGATTGCGTTTATCTCAGTAACAGCAACCCCCTATCCCAACAACCATGTACCAGCCCTGTTAGAGCACACTTCCGTGTGGAAGTTGGATCTACGCATGAGAACAGCTTTCGCGGATTAACACAGGTCAAATGACTCAGTACTAGGACCTCTTCTCTTCCTGATTTATATAAATGATCTTCCTCAACAGGTAACGTCAGACATATTGCTCTTTGCCGATGACGTGAAACTTTGGAGAGAGATACGCAACCAAGAGGACATACAGGCACTTCAGGAGGATTTGACTCGACTTCAAAGTTGGGCAGACGATAACGGACTCACCTTTAACCCTTCAAAGTGTAAAATAGTCCAACTTAGGCAACTCCTCTCTAGTAGTATCCCGAGTCGAAAAAGATTTAGGAGTTCTGGTGCCGTACGACTTAAAGTCATACGCCAACTGTAACAGAAATGCCTTGCACTGGTAACATTGAAGCGCATTTTTGGTCAGTTTGACGGGAGAAATTTCCACATAAACTTCAACAGTTTCATTCGTCCCCGTTTAGAGTACGGAAACATAGTGTTTCCTCCTACATCCCTGAAAAGGATAAGGACATTCTGGAGCGTATCCAACGGCGAGCCACGAAATCAGTTCGGGGACTCAAATTTAAACCTCCAATCACTCGACCTTTGTCCATTAGAGTATAGGCGTCTTAGAGGTGACCTTCTAATGACTTACAGTATCCTTAACACTCCTGGACATCCTCTTAAACACCTACTTAAGCTTAGTCCCAATACTAACCTAAGGGGTAATACCCAAAAATTAGAGATACAACATAGTAGAACGAACTGCAGGCACAACTTCTACTCCTTAAGAGTTGTCAAATGTTGGAATTCGCTGCTAGCTGAGCTAGTCCAAGCAACTTCCCAGGAGTCCCTTAAGAGGCGACTTGATCTATTCTTAATGACTAAGGATAGTATCTTACTATGATTTACCAGTTTATTATTTTTTTCTCTTTTATCGTTAACATACCTAGGTTCTTGCCTGGAGGTATTGGTGATCCTCTGCTACTAGACACGGAAGCCTGTTAAGCGAAAGCTTCTATTCCGTCCACAACCATTTGAACCATTTGACTTACTATTGTAAGGACGAGTGTAAACATAATCACCCAAACACAAGACTAATACTAATTAGATACTTATGTAAATTAGCAAATATAATCAGACGAGTTACAGCATGGTGTTTGTTTATTATTCACTATTGATAGAAGTTGGTTAGAATGTGGTTACACAGAAAACATCGACCTTCAAATGTAAAAAGCAGTAAGAAATGCAACAAAATAGAATTCGTACGTTTCCCTTGATGAACACGAACCAATAATTCTTATCTACCAACAGACGGAAAATCTTAACAAGCACAAAAGATGATTAAAGATAGACGAGACAGACCTAGACAGGATCAGATACACAACTAGTTGCAGTCACATTTACATGTTGCATTCAAAAGGTTATGCAAATAATATCGACAAAAACGAACAAAATCAAATAATAGTAAACACTGCATCGTGGAAACTACATAGTCGACTAAAACGTCGTAAGATTAAGGACAGAAGTATACCGACAGTAATAAAAACCATAAGATCCCAAAGAACGCCAATATATGGCGACTTCGTTATGCATTCTTAGTACGAAGGTGAACTTCTATTAGAGGATATTAAATGTCAACCCGCTAGAGGTTTTCTAAAGCACAAATATATCTTCGGAGCTCGGAAGCTAAGCTTTAGAAGTTTGTAAATATATCATAGAAACCGTCCAGTTACGTACGGCGTGGTTGGAAGAAAAGTATGCAAGCAGCTTTGGAATCGCTTCCAATTAGAGAATATACAGTGTCTGACCATATGTTCATTTGTGACAAAGAATACAGTGATAAATGACATGTTTAAAATGAATAAAGAATAGCAAAGTATGTAAATATGTATAAAATTAGGGCTTTAACAACGAACTGACATCAGATTTATTCTTAAGGTGAGCTCTTCACCGAAATAAAACTGATACACCAATAAACTCCTGATGACTGATAAATTAGTTGATGAAGCAAAAGCAAGTACCATAAAGCGTGGGTTTAATATAATTATCGCTCAAACTGAGTTATACAAGACACGCTTAATTTTTCACAAAGACAGTGCAAACAAAAACAGGAACTATGCCAATGACTAAAAAATTAATAGGATTCGAACAAACGAGCATATTACACTTGCTTCTAACCTTGACCTTCAGTAACAAAAGCAAAAAAGTGCGATTCCTATTGAAGAATTAAAACTGTTATTTGTCTGTATATACATAAGGAAGAATAACCAAGCAAACCATACTTAAATGGCTATTTTTCATCCAAGGATATGAATATTACCAACTTTTACTTTAAACTTCATACAATGTTGTATCGTTTTCACGCCTTATTCAGTGAGCATTTCAATGAGATAAGTGTGCAAATAAATTTATAGATCTTCTTTGTTCGCCCAGCCTATTGTTGATCGCTATAAGCGTTGTCATTGTGGAGTACTCCGAAATTCTGGAAAGTAGCAATAAGTGTTTTGATAACCTTAAAAGCCCTCTTTGCACATGATGTGACGATATTGTATGGCAACTTTGAAATAACTACGCATTTTGTTGATAATTGTGTGAAGAAAACTTTGCACTGACGAAATCCACTTTTCAGTTTTACAGCAACATTGTGACGAAGATTGTGAAACCTAACGGACTTAAGCGCATATATTGGTTGCATTTTTAACCATTTTTACATTCATGCTTCAGTCTTCAGTCTTCAGTAATAAGGATAGTAGGTTAGTGAACCTGTGTTAATCCTAACAGGTTGGCTTCCAGTGAAGGTCCAGTTTCTCTTTGAAAATATTCACTGATGGGGCTGATACCACTTGATCGGGCAAAGCGTTCCAATCATTGACTACTCGATGAGAAAAACGGAACCCCACCTTGAGTTTATTAGATCGTGGTTTGTGAACCTTCTTGCTATGACCTCGGAGATTATTAGTGCTGGAGGGAGCAAAAAGATAAGACATATTAACACCCAAATCATAATTAAAGATACGAAATGCCAGTATAAGGTCACCTCGAGTCCTACGATACGACAAGGGGAAAAGGTTTAAGCGTTTTAAACGCTCATCGTAAGGGAGTTTAGAAAGACCCTTCACTAATTTCGTTCCCACACGCTGGACACGCTCAAGTGAGGTAGTATCCTTTATCAGACATGGGCTAGCTGCTTGAATACAGTACTCTAAATGTGGTCTTACATAGGTGGGATATAAAATTCGAAACATTTCCTCGTCAAAGGATTTGAACGCTCGGCGAAGTGACCACAACGCACGAAAACCTTTGACAGCGGCTGCGTTGCAGTGCGCAGTTGTTTTTAAATCATGACTTATTATTACTCCTAAGTCTTTATGTTCTTGAACGCATGGAAGAGGTTTGCCATCAATAGTATAATGGTAATTATTGCCGTGACCGATGTGCATTAGCACACTCTTACTAGAATTGATTTCTAAACCCCAATCTCCAGCCCATCTAACTAAATCGTCTAAGTCAGATTGAAGATCCAGATGATCAGCCTCACCTCTTATTGCTCTCCATATTTTGACATCATCCGCAAATAATAATGTCGACGACCTAAGCAACAGCGGTAATTCATTTACGTAGAGAAGGAATAGCAGAGGGCCTAATATGGTGCCTTGGGGTACACCACTTTTGACCGGCTTCCAATCGGATAGCGTCCCATTGACCCTCACTCTCTGTCTGCGGTCACGTAAGAAGTTTCCTATCCACTCCTGTACAGTACCTATTATTCCGAAGCTTGTGAGCTTCTGCATAAGACCTGAGTGTGAAACCTTGTCAAATGCTTTGCTAAAATCTATGAATATAACATCGACAGACAGACCTTTATCTAAAGCTGCTGTCCAATCCTCTCTCGCAATAAGTAAATTAGTCAAGCATGAACGCTTATCACGAAATCCATGTTGCTCAGGGGCTAACAGATTGTATGAATCTATGTGGCTTAGCAACCTAACCCGAATTATCTTTTCAAGTAACTTAACGACAATGCTAGTCAGACTGACAGGTCGGTAGTTAGATACGATGTGTCTCTGACCATCCTTAAATATAGGACTGACAATAGCATCTTTCCAATCCCTAGGTAGTTGAGCGAGTGAAAGGGACATGTTAAAGAGTGTCGCGAGTGGTTTTGAAATAATGTCTGCAAGAGATGACAGCAATCGTGGATGTAACCCGTCAGAACCCGGTATCTTACAAGGTTTGAGGTTAATTATCAACGAAAGGACAGTTTCTTCAGTCACCTGTATGGATTCCATGGCTGGTATCGCGGCGTAACTGGGACAAGTATTTGTTACAATAAACGTAGAGTAGACTTCGCTAAAGTAGTTTGAAAATGTCTCAGCTTTTGCTCGATCTGATTCAGCTAGTAAACCTGAATTGTCGTGTAACAATAATGGGGGAATACTATCACTACGTTTTATTTGCCGTTTAACATACGAAAACAATCGTTTTGGACAAGTACGGCTATCGTATACCAACTGTCGTTCGTAAGTAATACGGGATTTAGCTATAGTTTTCTTACAAATATTCCGGAGTTTTTGGTACTCACGCTTAAAAGATGCATGACCTGTCAACAAGAATAAGTCCCAGAAGTGTTTCCTACGCTTTAACAGCTTACGGGTTTCCTTATTAATCCATGGAGGGCAGTGCGATAGCTTACGTACTGACCATGGGATAAACGGCGACGTTACGGACTCGAATGTAGCCTTAAACTTAATCCATTCGTCTTCGATCGATCCATCTGCATCAACCGACCAATCAGTAGAGATCGCACAGTCTCTGATTGCCGGAATATTAGCCCGCCAGATATTGGGACGGGGTGGAGCAGATACAAATCGTATACCATGTGTCCTAAACTTAAAGTGAAGTACAACGTGATCACTGTTCACTAGTGGAGGAAGGTGCTGAATATCAAAGACGTCCTCACAGTGGTGGGTGAGGGCGAGGTCCAGCAGTGACGGATCACGTTTCAGATCAATATGTGTCGGTTCAGTGATACATTGGACAAGTGCACACTGAATAACTGTTGATAAAAGTTCGCTATCAAAACCTCCACCTGGAGCTGTAAGCTCTATCCAGTTTATGTTCGGAGCGTTGAAGTCCCCAATGATGAGGCAACATTCTGCCATACTCCAAGAACAGATGTGTCTTAAGATAAAGTCGTCAGCAAGACAACACGGACTACGGTATATTCCGCCTATAGTCACTAACCCATTTCTAGATTTAATCTTACAACATGCTACCTCACATGTACCACTAACATGAGCCTCCGATATGATTGATTGTATACGAAAGTGGTCCTTAATGTATAACATTATGCCTCCCCCCTTGCGGCTTACAACTCTATCACTTCTAATACAGATATAGCCTGCAATGATGGGAGAACATTCTATATCTACGGTGAACCAAGTTTCTGTAATGACAATTATATCGGGACTTAATTCATCCACCATCAGACTTAGCTCAGACGTTTTATTCCTAAGACTACGGGCGTTCGTGTAGCACACACTTAAGGTGTTATGCTAATCGTTCGTTCTACCCATACAGGCCTCGGAAGCATTGGCTTCCAAGACCTGACTACCCGAAAACCCTTAATGGTAAGGTTGGTTTCGCCATTTAACTTGCGAGTTCTTAACTCCGTGAGAGCATTCTTCCACTTGATTCGATCCTCAAGCGGCCAATCTGGTCGGATACGAATATTTGAATCACGAATTTTTTGTGCGTTTTTCAATAATATATCTCGTTCTTCAAAACTCCCTAGAACCAGCTTCAAGATCCTTCTTGGTTGGGTCTCGCCTCCAACCCATTTACCGAGTCGTATCACTTTCGTGATATGTACTCCTGAAACCTCTTCAGGTAGTACATTTCTTACCATGGATTCTACTAACTTCAGATCATGTGCATGTCTCTTAGCAGGATCGTTGTCTATCGACTCCTCTAGATTCCAAATAATTAAGCTAGGGAGTGGTTTAGTTTCTTTAGGAATCGTGTTAACGGCTATCGATCGTGACCTAACATCATGTATATTAACTACTGGTATCTTACGATTAGTTTTTATTGTAACAGAGTCATTGGAGTCGAGAGAGTGACTCACAACAATGTTTGACGAGGCTTTACTTTGGGACTTTGGCGGAGTGGTCTGAGAGTCCACCAAAGACTTATCAAGTAAACAGTCCTTACTTTTAGCTGTTTTTCCTACTCTTCTGCGTTTACACTTCATCCATATTCCGTCAGCCGTAGCATCTACAATGGAACTGCTCGGGACAATAATTGTTTTATCTGGATCACCAGTTGCTGCTGTAGCAACATGGCCACCAATATCTAATGAGGTGTCACTCATTGATTGTTTCGAGGTAAAAATTTTGATTTCGGGTTGCGCAGTTAGATGTCTGACTCGCGCCGTGACAGCAATTACGACACTAACGCGATCTTCGCTATCGGCACCAATATTGTCAGTGCAGCCCTCGTCGACCTTCTTATTAGCCAACACCAGGAGGCTAATGGCTTCCTGGATGAGTGTTGTACGTGCTATGAAATCCTTCCTAAGTAAACGATTACTCCGTGTCACTTCAGAGGTTTTGGCACATAAGCACACGTTCTTGAAGTCAAAGATATGATAAATGAGATTTATAGTCAACATTTAGTTTGAGATGACAAATGGTGAACACAGGAGCATGGAATTGAGTTGTCGTGACTCGACCATGCAGGCGTAGTCTTGTAGCGTGGTGTGGAGTTGAGCTTGACTATGAACACCGCTACCAGACTACGTGCCAATAGACCAATAAGATTCCGGTAGGCCAAAAATCAGAAGGCAGATGATAGTAGTAGTTGCAATATATTTGTTGGCAATCTCGTGGTATCGAAAGAATACAGAGATCGTGCCAAAGGAATACAAATGCGATCGGCAAGGAGAGGTACGTGCGTAGTCGAAAACCGCGTAGAAGTAATGGAGTACAATGGAAGACCAAAATGGCTGTTATTAGCACAGTTAAACAAACGAGCACAATAAAACAATCACTGGTACAATTGGTTATAATAATAATTGTTTTCATTGAACCAATCGCGTTCTGTTGGCAGAAGTAGGTCACTACAGAAGCCCCCCGCTAGAAAGGGTTTACACTTTCGATAGTTAGCGGTTCGATTCGTGGGAC